GTTACTTGGGAATCATTTCACCCCAACAGCTCGGCTCCTATCATGGACACTCATTAATTTAGACATGTAGTTCCATTCTTGGCATCAGGCTAGAGGCCAAAAGTCTCACCAAAAAATGTTTATGTTGATTAATGTGCCAAGTCTGAACATATGCCAAAAATCTGTCTCACTAACCTCACCCATAGACCTTAGGATGGTACAGTATCTGGATAATAGACATGGAGCTGCTAAAGACTGCAGGGAGGAGCAGCAATTAAATTGTTTTGTCAGCTTAATTTAGGGTAAGCCTTTTAATAAGGGTGATCAACATGTGGAAATAGCATGGCATGCCCACCTAAATTGTAAAAGGCACAGGAGACAGGGGATTCAAATGTAGGCTGGTGTTCTGCCTCCTTTGGGACCTGTGGGCAGCCTGCCTCATAGCAACAGGGTCCACGGATGGGCAGGAGAGGTTGCATGGGAACTGTGGTCTGGTCACCACTGAGAAGAAACCATATATGTGTCAGTAGCTGGTCACTTTGGTTTGGACAAGTTGTATGTATAGGGCTGGAGATGATTGCTTTGGTGTTATTTCTGTGAGTTTCTTGTGCGGGGAGAGGATTACTAATGTGTTTAAAAAACTGCAGAAACAAATTGCTGACTCTGGGGAAGCAGGTTTCCCCTAACTTCTCCATAGCTGTCAATGGCAAGCTAGTATCCATCAGCACCTCCATTGATTCCCAGAATATATCAACTAGAGACAAAAGAAAATAGAAGTGTCTTCTTACTGTCCTTGCTCTCCCGTTTTTCAGTCAGTGCTGTATTACTAGCAGTCTAGCTTTTTTTTTCCCCCCCTAACATTAGTAATTGTACCTACAGAGCAATCGTACTACAAGTTGTACATATATATATATATATATATATATATAATTGTCACTTCAGCACCCAGAAGCTACTTGTGCTAAGAGCTGGACTTCCACAGAAAGAAACCCAGTCCCTGCCTGCAAGAGATCTATGTTTAAAAAAAGCCAGCTAAGCAAGTGCAAAAAAGGAAATATTTCAGCTAGAGGAAAGCAGCAGAGAGTTAATTACATGCTGGAGTGCCCAAGCCCACAGAAGGTCTGTCACTTGCTATTTAGGGTGAAAGCTTTCACCTGGCCCTGGGAAGCAGAGCTATGGGAAAGGGAGCCTTGGACAGGACTGTCTTGTCTCCCAGCTCTGGTCATCAGTGTAAGCAGGCAGTTCCTCCTGGCTCTGCTGGGGTAGTAAGGAGGATTAGCTTGATCCTGAAGTGGGTATGGCTGATGGAGCAGGCAGCTCTAGGAGCAGACCCAGCCTTGCTGCCATCCCTTTCTTCTGTGCCAGTTCTGACACTGCTGGTTAGCCTTTTTCTTCATAGTAGTGTTAGTAAGTTCTTACCTGTACTTAACCTTTTGCTCTACAAAATTGTAGGAACTTCATGCTTTGGGGGTTCTTACTTCTTTTCCTAAGCTTATTAAAATTGGTCAAAAACTATGAGTTGGAAAGAGCCAAGTAGATACACATGTAAGCACTTGTATTTGCTATCTGTGCATGCTGCATGGCTGCCCAAGCCTGGATGCTGTGGGGAAATAAAGCTAAAAACCAAATATATCTGTGTATGCCATTGAGGTTTCTTCTCACAATTGAGAAAAAAAACCCAACTTTTTAAAAGTATTCTTTTCAAGAGGATAAGCTGGTTTAGTTAGGTTTTTTCTTCTCCTTTTCCTAGTTATTTCTGTGAAAGCAGAGGGATAAACATCCAGAATAAAGAAAAATTAGGTTAAAAGCTGCTGACAAAAAATATGGTATATAAACAAACCTTCTGCTCAATAATCCTCACCCTGCCCCCAAACACCACCTCATTTCTGAAAGCTGCTTAAAAATAAGCTGTACTGCAGTCACCATTCCCAAGTCAAGTTTGCCTGACTGTGAAACCTACTCTGTTCCTGTCCACAGAACTGGAGCTTTTGTTGGAGATGAGTGGGTCAAAACTGTTTAATGTTGTCTCTGTAAAAAAAAGTAATTATTTCAGAAAACTATTGTATTCTGCTGGCAGTGTGGCATAAACATTGCATGAGATACACGTGTAATTCTCACATAAAAATGAAATCTTGATGCAGTTATTTACAACTTTTGCCCTGTAAGCTTATAGACCCAGCTATGTTTCTGTGAAGTCCAGAGCAGTGTTACAAGAAACTTCAACTGATGTGTTCTTAAATGTTCCATTAAAGTATCAGAACTTTATTTTTTTGCTAGGAAGCATTGAGTGAATCCCGAGGGGTCCTGTAGCCTGCTCTTCTGTTTCCTGCCCTTCACCAGATGCTTTTGAGAACAAGAAACTGTTCAGTGAGACATCGTAAAGTTGCTTCCCCACTTGAAGGTAAAAGTGCTGCAGTTCTATTACTGTTTCCCTAGCTGTTGCATACATACTTGGGTCAGACAGAAAGGGGTGGGGGCATTAAAAAATGTGATAAGGCATCTTGGTACCAGGTCCCATCCTGGAGCTCAGTCTACTGATAAAAGCAAAGAACACTGGTGAGTAGACAGCATCTAGTGCCTCTGCAGGCTTGCCTGGAGCTGTACTATTTGTAGCCAAAACAAATGATGAAGAAAGGACTTCAAGAGCTATTGCTCTGTATTTAATCTGCTCTGTGAAACTCTTCCAAGAAAGTGGCTGTTCATGGTTGGTTCAAGCACTGATAGATTTTTCTGTATGAATTACTCAAAACACCTAGCTTGAGGTTGTTCTGTGCCTCTTGAGAAACTTGTTGTGACCCTGCTGTCGGAGAGGCGGCGCAGGCACCCCACAGAGCACAGAGCAGAGCCGTGGGGTATGGCCTGCTGCCAGATCTCCTCTGGGGCTTGTGGCAGTTACTCGGTGTTTGAGATGGAGACACGAGCCTGGTGCTGTTGTCCGAGTCCTGGGGCTGGCTCAGCCTACAGCAGCTCGGGGCTTTCCACGCTGTTCTCACCCTCCCACGCGTGCAGTGGGTCTGGAGAGCCCTTCCAGCGCTGTCTGGGAGCATTTTTGGCTCTGGGGGCTGGGAAGTGAATTTCGAAGCAGACCTGGTTCGCTCTTCGTTGCTGCCAGCAGGTGGCAACAGCGCATTGCAGCCCGTGCAGGAGGCAACACAGCAGCTCCCACTCCGGCCAATTCCCCGGGGCTCTGTCGCTGCTCTTTCCTTTCCTGAGTGGGTCACGCCGTCTGCTTTCCGTGACCCTTTGTGCCGAAGCATGAAGCGGTTCTCAAAGCCAGGAACTCGTTACTCTTCACTCGGCTTTAAAGCATACATCTCTTGCTTGCAAAGAAGGCAGGGGCTGGTGGCCGGCGGCTACATCTCTACCCTGGGACTCTGAGATTTCCTGCTGCATGGCCAAGGTCAAGTCTGGTCCAGTTTCTCATGTCTACCCTGGATACAGTAACAGCAATCCAGGCACGGTGAGGGTAAAACAGCAGAAACGTGTCACAGAGGGTGACAAATGACCGTGCATGGAGATGGAAACAGCTTCTAAGTGACTGGGTTGCATGATGGATGGATGACATCAGGTCTGTCACCTCAGCTTTTTCTGCATTGCTCTGTAGAGTTAGGACGTTATTCACAGTAGCAGCTTCGGTACCTTGAGCCTGGAGAGCCCTGAAAAGTGGTAGTACTTTCCTAGTGTAAACAGAGCTGTGGAGCCTTAGAGGGTGCACTAGGTGTTAAGTCCTCTCCCTGAAGGTAGAGTTACTTAGCAGTATAGATGGGTTAAAACTTTACTGTAAAAAGTGCAACAGAATAACTCTGTCAGTGCTGTAGTGCTTGTTCAGAGAGGAGCTATTTCTACTCCATTAGTCTGCTGAGAGGCTGGAGTGGTTTTCTGTACTGTACTCCTGGAGATCAGTGATGCAGAAGAGCACTATTGCTGCATTATGCAGTTAAACAGCAACACTGTGAGAACAGAAGGAAAGTTACCTTCCTGACAAGAAGATCCTTTTGAATTTATCACCTTCCTAAGGTGTATGCTTTTGTCCAGCACGAAGTAGAGCTTTCAAGCCCTAGGAAATAATGCACTTGTACAGATAGATGCAAGAGTTGGACTTCACCAGCAGTTTCTGTCTTTG